TTCTCTTCTTCCTCCCCCTTCCTTCCTCTATTTCCATTGGTTGGGAGACTTGAACCAAATCTAATAGAATTCAAAATTTTTTCAAAAAATTCATTGTGTTTTTTTTTTTTTTTTGCTTCTTTTGTAGTTTATTTTTAACGAATTTAAATAGAAGGGTAATCAAATTTGTTTACAATGGAAAGTAGAGGATTTTTGGGTATTTATTTGTTGGTTGGGTTGTTTGGTATCCGAGAAAAGAAACGAAAATATTAGTCATGCTATTAATTTGTCCAATTAATTAATAATTAATGATAATTAATTTCAATTTCTTCCATCTTCATTTAATTTTATTATTAACAAATTATTGTAAAATAAATAAAAAACTACAATTAAAATTAAATTAAATCAGATTAAATTATTCAGTAAGGGTATTTTTAGCAAAATAGACAATTATTTATATCTAATCTCACCATATCCCAAAAATTAAGCAAACATGAGATTGGATTCAAAAAATCATACCCTATCTAATCCAATCTAATCCTACCCTATAAATCTAATCAAATCCAATTCAATTCTAAATGTCAAACATATCATATAAGGAAAAAAAAAGGTTAGGAGAAAGACATTTGGCAGGCCATTGCATAATACAATACTTGTAAAACTACAGATACTTCAATTCTGATTTTTTTTTTTCACTTATTTATGCTGATCAAACTATTGGTATTTTACTAAATTGTTAACCAAATGCTATTTTGCTTTACTAAATTGTTTAGCAAAGGCTTTCTTACTCTACTGTATTGTTTAGCCACCAACCTTCAACAGTTTTATCAATTTCTCATTGTAGTTCAAATAATTAATTAGGATTGACGAGAAAGAACTTGAAAAAGAGGATTATCGTTTACTAGTTACCTTTCGATTGTGGACCATAGAAAAAAGGACCACATGGATTTTGGTTATCCATATCACACCAACCGATTCATCTTGGGGGAAAATAATTTAATTTATGTTTATCTCCATGAATGACCCAAACACCCAAGTTCGAACTAAACTTAGTTAATAAACAATCCTAAAAGGCCTATATATATATATATATATATATATATATATATATATATATATCCTTAAACTTACTAATTTGTTCGTTTGAGTCACCATTAACATAGATATAGATCATGCATACAAAAAGTTAATTTAACATTTACAATTATTTGACTAAAAGAAGTGTACATTCTAATATATATTTATTGGAATAAAATTTTGTACAATCATTAAAGTGTATAAATATATTCAATTACATAATATGGAGTTTAACAAGCATGATCTACGCATCAACTTATACTGATGTAAGTGTTACACTAATTTTAAAATTTTAACAAATAAAATATAGCATTTGAATTTTTAAAAAAGAATAATGCTTATTTGTTTTACCTCTTAAAGATTATGAGTAATATTATTCTAAAATTACATTATTTTAATAAACACTTATTGAAAAAAACTAAAATATTTTATTTTTAAAGCATAAATTATGATAATTTTTGTCAATTTTTTTTTATTTTTTAAAGATAAAGTGAACAAACACTAACCCGTTTTTAAAGTAGCTCTTTAAATTTTAAAATGTGTGGATAAAAAATAGTGTAAGAGTTTCTTTATTACCCAAAATGAAAATGAAGAGATTCTAATCTACATTTCCAACATGTTCACCTTGCTCTTTACAACTTAAGCCAACCCCGATAGGGCCAATCTAACGAGTATTGATGATAGAAAATAAAGAAAATGGTTATCAATATGAGAAGAAGAAACTACTTGCTGCCACTTTCCTTCAAATCAAACTTCAAATTCATTTTTTGCCCGTTGCCTCCAATTCAAAGTTGAAAAAGACAGGTCTTGTCAATTTCTGATGAAAAAGGTCTTAAAAAAAAAAAAGCTCGACCATCTGGCTTCCATTTAGGAGCTTTAAAATCCAAAAACTAGATACGTACATAGAAGAAGTCGACAGCCTAACAATTTCAATGAATACCGTTAACACCGATCCCTCAACAGTTTCTAAAGACTTTGTCAAAAGGAATGCTTTGGGAGAATACCAAAGACCAGAAAACTAATTCATTGGCAACCTAACCAAACCACTTCTTTCTTTCCCTTAGAACAAAACTTTCTTGAATTCTCTCTTTGGATTACTCCTGAAAGTTTTCGTCCCTGTTCTATATAAACCCCCAAAGAGAGCGTGCATAAGGTAAAATTATTTGATTGAGTGGGGAAAAGGGATTTGGAATTGAAGAGAATGGCAACTGGGGCAGCTCAGATGGTGTTTCAGGTTTCCTTTGATGGAAGTATAGCTGCGAATGACACAGATATTCAATGGAGGCCGTATCACCGGAACTGTGGTTGCCGGCTACATAACCTGAAAGGTAGCAGTAAACCCCATGACTGTTCCCAACCAAGGAATGTAGCATTCCCACAGAAACAATGGCAAAGTGATTGTTCCTTGTCAATGTCGATTTCCAGACTCTCTTCTCAGTCTTCTCTTCCTGATGATCTCTCGCTTTGTTCCTTTTCAATGGCGGCTTCTAGATTCTCAATCTCCTCTTCCTGATGATCTCTCCCTGGCATGAAAGCAGAGGAGAATGAAATGTTAGGTACAGCTGCAGTAGAAGGAACCGCAGGTTACACAATGCATACTTAGATCATTTGTCATCCCTTTCATCAATTTAATTTCTCCATGTAAACTTCTGATCTCTTATTTCTCTTGACAATTTTAGCTCTGTATGCCAGCTCTTTAAATTCTATGCCAGACTCTTCAAACACATTAACTCTCAATCCTATCATATGGTTTCGGAGAATTCCCTAATGTCACCTTTCATATGGCATCATCATTTATGCAAACAGCCAGTTTCTAAATCATATATTCTGAACACATAGATTTAAATTACATTCATTTGAAATGCATATCTCAAATATGTCTATGACAGTGATCTGCATTCAATCATCAATCTTGATGCATTAATTGCAATTTATCGATTATATGGTAATTAAGGAACATGGATATATCTGAAAACCTTGCCATCATCCGGAATTGTAAGAGCTGTGAGGAGAAGGGGGTATCTGGTGAAAATTTCAATGTCTATTGTCCTCTTTGTATTTTTTTTTTTATTAACCTATTCGATAATTACATTAAATTTTGACTAATTCAAAATCGAAACCGCATTGGATCCTAGGGAAACTCTCCAACACCTATTATTTATCTGAATTTAAGCTATACGACAGTATGTTGTTGATATTTTTCAAACAAAGAAATAGAGAGAAAATCAGGAATAACATAAACGAAAAGGGGGAGGAGTATAACACTGCAACCTAGATTTTCTCATTAACAATTTCTGCTATATATAGCAGAATATAATTTTTAAAACAATTTAAAATTTAAAAAGTTGTATTTTCTCTGAGTAACTATTTTACATAAAAAGCAACAATAAAAGTACATTTCTACCAAAAAAAAATAATAAAAGTACATTTAAATAAGTAAAAGATAACCAATTTTCCTGCATGCTTGCTGTGACTCTGCAGCCACTTTGCAGCCTTTCATTTGTATTTGCATTTCTTTTGTATTTGCATTTGCATTTCATTTACTGTTCCTTATAGTTTCATCTTCATCAACATTTGCAGCTTAGCTTGCTGCATATTTTTGCTGTCATTTGACAGCTTCATTTCCATCATATTTGCAGCTAAATTGCTGTCATATTTGCTGTCAAATTGCAACTTCATTACTGCCATTTCATGGCAGTTTCATTTCATCATTTTTGCAGGTTTGAACGCCACATTTCTAATAATATTTCCAACATATGTAACAGTAAAGACTCGAGATTGACTCCAGAAAAATTCGGTATTAACTGGTTAATTAAACCCCCATATGGTCAAGTTTTCGTATTAAAAGCGAATTTTTGAGGTGAATTTGTTGTATGATCTATAATCAAAATATTCAAACGCACCAACAAAAGGTCCATCCAAAATCCTAGTGGGAAAGGGAGCTTACCCACTCCGACTCTGATTTAGGTTTTATTTAAGGAGATTTGGGAGAGTTTTTCCATATTTGCCACCAATTAAAATTCCTATAATAATTAGACTTCCCAATCAGTCTTCAATTAGACGAATGTACACCTCTCTCTCTATATATATATTTGTATTGGCCTCACCATCAAAGCATTGCTTTAGTCAGCTGCGATAGATCTCCAGCCTTCCTAAGAGAGAAGAATTAGGGAGAATTTAATTAGCGTGAAACATGGCTCTAAGATGGGTGGTTCATTCAGCATGCCATATTTTGGGACACGCAACAATAATGTTGAAGATGGTCATGGAGACACAATGATCAAGAAGCAGAACATTGGGGAAGATTGCATGGATATGTATCGGTCTGGTTTTCAGATGCCTCTTCATTACCCTCATTACACCAAGGCCGACTACGAGGAGATGGAGTGGAAATTAGACTTGCTCCTCAGACAATACGGTCTAAATTTCAAGGCCACCCTTGATGAGAAGAGAGCTTTTGCCATGGGTGCATTCCTCTGGCCCGAGCAGTATTAATCTAGTGCTTCTGATTTTGAAATTGAATCGATGCTACATGCCTGCAACAAATCTTAGTATTCAATAATCTAGTAGACATGCAGTACACATATCGTCTAGGGATTGAATCTTAAAATTATAATTAAGAATACATGTAACTCTACTATCAAATCACATTATTAACGATAATATATGTACTTGACACATATACATAATTAGAAGTTTTTATGATCTATAATAATTAGCATGTATTACATGTATCGGCATGTCCTTTTCATTTTAAGAAAATTAAATATGGTTCTCAACTAGATATGAGTTTTGTTCATTTGGTATAAGATAGTGTTGTTGCAAATTGCAGGAGGTCGGTTTACTAATTAGGGGCCTATGGCAAAACAGTTTCCTGCATACTAATTTCTGTAGTAATTCCATTATGGTAATATGCAAGTTTGTTTGCTGGTTTAATTTTGTGAAAGCTAATTAGGATTTTTTTATTTATTTAACATTTAGTTCTTAAAAACTGAAAACATAGAAACTTATTAACATGGAAGAGGGGAGAAACCCATAAAGCCACAAAACAGATTCCCCAGCTTCCAAATTACACAGGAATGTAGGAAAAGATTTTTAAGATGTCTAATGAATTGTATGGTATATTAGAATATTAGTACATTTGAACAAAGTTTAAGAATTTTTTCATAATCAGTATTCACCAGATGGACCGCTTAAATACTTTCTGGAACCTGGACTTTCATGCAAGGATGGTAAAATAAAACCTTAACTTGCAGTATCTGTTCATACCATATATATCTAATTCCTTTGGTTTCATTGATATCACAAAATTCTATACTGTTAAATATATTAAAAAAATACAGTTTCTTTGATCGGGTGTTTATAGAAGTTCGATAAACTTGAAATTATTTATATGATCAATATGAATAAAACAGTTATACCGACTATAGGTGTTACAAAATATCAACCGTACTAAAAATTATGGATTGCTGCAAGAATTTCTTTCAGGATTTTCTTTGTATTAGTCTTATATAGATTATCAAATATGATCTCAAACTCTAAAATTTGAGATATTCCTTAATAAAGAAAGGGTCAGGCAAATATTACCAAAGATTGTTTCCTTCCTGTCCTGAGATTGACTACCTTCAAGATTTGAGTTCAAATTAGGCCAACAGTTCCTTTATGGATGTTTTGTTATTGTACCACAGTCCCTTGTTCACAGACAAATTTTTCTTTTTTCCCTCTGCGTGCTAAGAGTATTGAATGTTCAATGAAAACCAAAGGCAAAGTTACTAGAATGAGATGGGTGTGCCACTGCCATACAGTATTCATGCTAGGAACCCCCCAAAATTATCCAATATATATAACATTGGTTGGTTGCAAATATGCATGCGAATTTAATCAACAATCAAATATAATTTACAAGCATATGGACAAAGTTGAAAAGTCGCAAAAGGGACATCAAATAAAAGAACTCATCACCACTTGGAATCTGGTCATTCGCATGTAATATTATTATACATTCCCTATAGAAGTTTTATGATCAATTCTATGCGTAATCATGCAATTGTAGGAAAGTAATCCATGATATTATTGTAGTATAGCATGCCAAAAGAATACCTATGTTCACTGTCGATTTTTCCGGAGTGCCTGAAAGTGAGCAGTGAAGGTGTCAAAATCAGGTAGCTTTGGATGAACGTGACTGGGTTTCTCCTTAAAGGACCCTTCCCCACTTGAAGTCTTTAAGCTTTCCGAGCTATCTGATACTGATGGTATTTGCTTTTCTGATGACCTCAAACTTCCATCAAGCGAGGACTTCCTGGTGTTTGAAACAGGCTTTGTAGCTGCTTGCTCCATCCTCCCATGTTGATCATAATTTTGCCCTTGATCTGAGTCTCTCTTCTGAGGCCTGGTCTGTGGTAGAGGTTGAGCGGCATGAGAACTCGAAGAGGAATAATTCTCATCAGCAGAGTTACGAGTTGCTGATGGCCTCAAAGAGGAATTATAATCCTCAGCAGAGTTACGAGTTACTGATGGCCTCAAAGAGGAATTATAATGCTCAGCAGAGTTCCGAGTTACTAATGGCCTCATAGAGGAATTATAATCCTCAGCAGAGTCACGAGTTACAGATGCTGCAGAAAAAACTGAAGTCTTAATGTTAGATCTACTCTCAGTATTTGGAAGAGAAACCTTTGTCCTTCGAGAAAATCCTTTATTTCGAGAATGACTCATTGAAGTTGTTTTAGGAATATCCTCCTCAGAATCACTGTTGCCAGAACCAAAAATTGGAAGAGAGACCCTTGAGCTTGAATTTTTGTTTCCTAAAATGTCTTCCTTGTTATTGTACTTCTCTAGAATGCCACTTCCAAAAGCCTGTTTTGGGAGTTCATCAGGGTCACCATCACTGGAAACATCATGTGCAGCTGAGGCTCTTGTGCTTGGCCTTCTATTTTCTTCTGCACTGTCTTTCCCGTCATATGCCTGTTGACTGTGAGATCCAAGACTAACTGGAAAATCAACTGCTGGAGAAGATTGCTCTATCATTGAGGATGTGTCCTGAGCTGCCTCTCTTGAAGATGAAGCACTGCCTTGATGAATTCTTGAATATGGTGGACGCCTGTACCCCTTGTTTCGAAGACCACCTGTCAAATTTCCAAACTTAAGTTCATTACCACTTTCCAAACTTGGTTCTTCTAAGGGATCAATATCTGCCATGGCTTCAACAAACTGTTTACTAGAAATGTCTTTCTTAGCGTCATGGGAATCAAAACTCCCTTCATGAGTAAATTTATTGAGATCAACACTTCCACCCAGCTTAGGCTTTTCTAACTCCTCTTCACCTTCTGAACTTGGGCCATCTGAATTATCAAAAGTCACAGACAAGTCTTCTGCCTGTGACGGGACAGGAGATCTAGTTAAACTTTCAGAGAATATGGGAGCTGAGTTCTGCTCCATGAAAATATGTGACTGATTATTCTGGGACTTTCTTGGTGACTCAACATTCTGCCTAACACTCCAAGAATTAGCATTTGTAGACAGCTGACTGGATGATTGTTGAACTACAGATGAGAAACCCAAACTGTGCTCATGTTTCTTGTGGTCATCCTCCAAATCGAAATTATTGCCATCATTATCAGAACTAGAATCATCAAAGACCACCGAAGCATTGTCATAGGAATGTGTTTCTTTTGTATTTCTTCCAAAGCTACTTTTATCATTGACAAAAGGCCCAGACTCCTGGCCATTTAAATTTGAGACAGCATTGTGATCATCAATAAAAGAACTTGAATGAGAACGAGATGAAGCATGGCTAGATTGTTTTCTGATCCTTACTTCATGATAATCAACATTCTCAGAGTTCTCACTATCATGCCGTTCGTTGACAAATTGTACCTCAGAAACACCTAAATGTTCAGTCTTCCATTTCTCAGATGAGTTTCTTTGATAATATAGATCTGCCTTTTCATGTTCATTTGCAGAAGGTGCACCACTGAAAGAGGCTGCACTGGACTTGAAGGAACCTGAACTGTTATAAAAATTTCCAACCCCTCCATGGTAATCTTGTTTGGTGCCCTCAGTGTCAGTCCATTCATGATGTATACCAGAATTGCTTCCATGACGCAAAATATTTACTGGATCTCCTGTAAGATGTTCTCTTTGAAATGTTGAGCCAGCATAAAATTGAGTTGCTTCATCTCTTGCACCATAAGTTGAAGACTCGTGTGATTCTGTTGAATATTGCCTGGAGATATTTCCATGGCTTGAAAGTTCTGCATCTTGAAAGTTCTGTGATGTTGAGCTAACATATGTTTTAGGTCCTTCATCTCTCATACCATAAGTTGAAGACTTGTGTGATTCTGTTGAATATTGTGTGGGGATATTTCCATGATTTGAAAGTTCTGTGGGTTTGAAGGTCTGAGATGTTGAGCCAGCATATTTTTGAGGTGCTTCATCTCTCATGCTGTGAGTTGAATACTCGTGTGATTCTGTTGAATATTGCCTGGAGATATTTCCACGGCTTGAAAGTTCTGCAGCTGCTCTGGCAGCCATACTAGCTCGTTCTGCAGATTCAGCAGCTGCCTGAGCAGCAGCAGTAGCATCCTTAAATTCCATATTCCAATTTTGCCTGCCAGGAGAGAAAGTACTCCCATCAGCAGAATATGAATCCCTGAATTCCATCCCTTGAACTCCAGCTCCTAAATAAGAAACCAGCCCATAAATCTAATGATTAATGAAGAAAGAACAAGCCAAGCCATAGAAGAAAAAAACTAAGCACAACATATGGGAAAAAAAAATGATCAACCACCAAGTCTGAATCTAGAACTAACATACCAGAAGGTCGTACATCTGTTTGAGGAGTGCCAGATGACATTCCCTTATTGGCTACATTGGAATAATCAAAATGAGGTGATGATGTGGCTTTTTGTTCATCAAAGCTTTTGGGCACCCCATTCCTTTGAACATTGTTATATGGAACTTGGACGTTAGGAGGTCCTTTGTCATCAAGAGAGAGGGAAGCTTGGCCGTAAGGAGGATTAACAGGAACTCTGCTAGCCTTCTCAAAAGTATTTGGTCCGTTCTGCTTCAACAATCCATAGAGAAATGACATTTGTTAAGCAGAATTAATTCGTGAGTAACAAAGTAATGACTGCCTTGTCACTAATGTTGATTTACAGTGGTAGCAAGCATGAGTATTTTAGGACTAACAATCAACAACTTAGTAATTCTTACTGTACTATTCTTACCAGCAGATCATCAGGAGGTTTTGATTCTTTCTCTGAAAATGATTCAGGATCCCATTTGATGTTATGTTCCTCTGCAATTGCACTCAAGATTTTGATTTTGGTTGGACCATCAGGCGCTTTGGCAGATAATTTCTCAACCAACTGCAGAAAAAAACAAAGGGATCGATAAAAAATTCCAAGCTGTTACACTTCAGTGACATATGTTAGGCTGACTTCTTTGGACTTATTGAGTTATACATGCTGTTGTGAACTTACCAAGCGACTAACCCCACATTCTGGACGAAGTTCAATTGCAGCAGAGACAAATTCTTTTCCATATTTTGCTGTGAAATGCTTGCGAACATCCATGAGTTCAGGAAGGTCCGCACATCTAGGAGCAGCAAATATCACACTTGAAATTGCTTCCTTCAAGTCGATGGGGCAGTTCCTGAATGATTAAGTCATCACAATCCCAACTCAAAGTTAAAACAAACCAAACAGATTGGCCACCAGAGCAATTTAATCCATGCAAGAACAAGGTGCTAACAAAATTACTCTCCAAGAAATCAAAATGTAGCTTAATAGCCCTGCTTTTATATCAATAATTATTGCATTACACCATTCATGGAGGCTTATTGCTCATCTCTTTACAATGAATGTGCACCTGAGACCAACTCCAATTTTACCAACCAGTGAACAATGAAGGTTATCTCCTCTACTTGTTCTTAACATATACAGAGTTGGTAAAGCAAGGTTCCACAATTACATATGTATCTCTAGTTTAACATTAATATATATATATATATATATATATAAAAGACAGGTTATTCAATAGCAAATTTTACTCACTTTTGAGACTCGATGATTGGCAAGCGTGCCACAATAAGCTCACAGTATATCTCAATAAGATCATAAGCTGCCACTGTCTTCTCTTCTCTAACCACATGCTCCACCTGAAGAAAGAGGATGCAGTAAGAACCGAGTCTTGAACACTTCTTCCCAGTAAATAAAGGATGGAAAGTAAATGGCAAGACGCATTGAAATAAACCATATTCCAGATAACTAGGAAACCAATACACAACACTGCGTCTAGTACATTCCAATGGACAGTTTTAAGAGACTTCAACATAATCTACCACCAGTTCTAAAAAAAAAATAAAAATAAAAAAACCCAAAAACCTACTCGGATTCTTGCAGTTTGATCCTGTCCAGACTCGAGCAATTGAGCCAAGTCCCTCTTCAAATGCTTCACCTGTTCCAGTCTCTTATTTTTCAAAAGTTTTATGCGTGATGTTGCAAGCTTTAAAGCTGTTTTGCTGCATCAAAAAGTGTAAAAGCACAAAATACTAAAAGTCAAACAACAATCATTTCTTCAAAATCCAACACCTCCAAACCAAACTCCATCGATGAAACAGTAATCTCCACAAACAAATCCCTCTAATCAATATCCAATTCAACAATTATCCTTCTGATCGCTACAAAAACAAAAAAAATTTGAGAATAGCCAAACCAACAATACCAACAAAATTCATCCTTTTCCTTCCAATTTCTCTTTCTAGGAAACCAAACGGATCATAAACAAACCAACTAAAAAAAAAAAAAAAAAGAGAAAGAGAAAGTGAGTTGATAATCACCATTTCGCGGGCTTGAAGCTTTTATGAAGCATGGTTTCTTCAAAACTAGCACCAGAAAAAAAAAAAAAAAAAAAAAAAGCCTGATTGAATCGAAATTCTGCTTCAATTGCAGCGGATTGGATTGGATTAGGGTTTTCGCGGCTTTAAATTAAGTGGCAGACAGCCTGCGATGTGGTTTGGATTTACGTATTTTTGGGATCTTAATAGAGAAGAAAGGATATATTCGGCGTTTTCCGGAAATTCAAGGCATGTAGATTTCTTCGTGCGATGGTTTTAATTTTACTTTTATTATTAATAATTAATGTTCGTTGCTGCCTGTCAAATTTCTATTGCCTGTCTGAAAACGAATATTGTACTGCACAGTTAAAAAAAAAATAAGAATAAGATCATCGTTTTTAGTGATGGCAGAAGGTGCAATTCAGCCCCTGTACCTGCAATGTTGTGGCAATTCAGCCCCTGTACAAGAAACACTGGCAAATCAGCCCTTCTACTACATGAAATCCGCAAATCACCCCTTCTGTTAAGGATGACGTTAGAAAACATCATTTT